TTAAATCTACGTGGCTGGCAACATCCTGAGGCACAGAGCAGCTTCAGCGGAGGCTGAGCTATTCATAGGCCAGCACGCTGGGCTGGGAGTGAGCTCATGAGCTCCCAGCCTCCCCAGTGCCAGCTGCCAGCTCGGCTGGGACATGGAAAGGGAGCGAGGCAAAATGCATGTGGGAGGAGGGAGGCACAGGGGGGACAGGATGTTAGCTGCTGACATTTCACGTTTAGATCTGCCAAAATCATGTTGGAGGGCTCGGTGTTTACACCTCTGCAGTAAAGGGTGGCAGGCTTTGCATTGTGTGAGACTGCTTCACTCCAGGCTGACATTTGCAGCTACAGCTGCCTGGTAGGGGCAACTCAGGAGGAGCAGCGTGCTCTGGGGAGGGACATTTCTATTTTGCACAGAGCAGCAGCTGCCTCTCTTCTCAGTAAGATACTGGAGTGGTACCTAGGGCTAGACCAGGGCTACTTACCAAAGCCAAGACAAAGAGGAAGGAGTATAAAGATTACTGCAATTTATTTATAGCAACCATCACAGGTTTGGAAACTATAAATTTTAATAACCACACCTCACACACAGACACCTTCACATTTATAACCATTAGTTTCTACATCTCTCCTTAATGCAGACACTCATCTCCCTAATAACTGAGTTAGCTTTATACACTTCAGCAGCCTCACCAACTTAAATATAAAATTGCTTTAGCATCAGGGCTTCTGTTACAACCAAAAAATCAGTTCATCTGAGTTAAGACGGCTGTGGCTGCAACCAGTGTGACCATCTGGGCTGAGATGTGCAAAGAAGTGGCTTGTTCTGTGCTTGTGAATACCATGTGTTGTGGTACTGTTCTGGGGACAGGTGAGAAGGCACCAAGAGCTTTGTTTTATCAGACCCTGTATTAGGGTGTTTAGGGCAGAGTTATAAAAGCAGAGAGCCAAGGAACACAGTTCACCTCAGCTTTGTCTGGCCAGGCCCCTCTAGTATCAACAGTAAGTGATGCTGAGGGATATAAATGTTATTATGAGGCACTGCACTGTAGTAAGATTCACCATACCCTGCTCTGCCCAGATGCTGGCTTGGTGCCAAATCTGCACAAAACAGTCATGCCATGCCTCAGCATCTCTCTTCCCAGAGCAACACAAGCAGTACAGGCTCTGCTACTGCAGCCTCCCCCATCCTTCCTCTAGATCCCAACCATCCTTTACAGCAAAGACACAGGAGCAGAGCAAGACTTCCTGTATGTGGTCAGCACACACTGGAAGAAAAGGACACCATGAATTAAAATCCTACAGTAAAAGGAACCGGCAGAAGGATAGACTCCAACTGTCATTTTAAACAACAGCCCTGAATATAGAGCAAAATCCCCAAAAGGCAACTCCTGTGTGTCCTACCACTTATTCTGACCACTTGGGACATGGCAAAGGGACATGTGGCACCTCTTTGTTAGTGCTTGTGGACATTCCTCCAAAAATGTTAACTTCCCGAGAGCTGGCATTACTTCTGGTATCTTGGAATAGCAAAATGATAATCACTTGCCAGCAGTTCAAAACCTCTCCAACAGACCTCTCTTAACAGACCCCTGATGAAGCCATGGTTCTCTTCCCAATCTGATTTAGCCATGCACCCCTGTTCAATGCAGAGCAGCATTGACACAGAGTCTCTCAGAAGAGTCTGCTGCAAAGCCAGAGGCCTCCAAACATCAGCATCACAAGCACCTCATGTTTAAACATCAAGTGCATTGATGTGTCTTCAGTGTAGGTAGGTGCCACAGTTCTCATCTTCTGGGGAAACCAAGACCTGCTCTAAACCCTTGCATGCAGCAAGGCTAGAAGGAGCTGCTAGCTCCATCTCTGGGAGGAATTGCTGGAGGAATGGCACTGAATTCCCACCCACCTCCCTGATATGGGAGGCTGCCTCCACAGCTGCAAACCCAAATGGGCTCTGAGCCTCCACAGCCCAGCAGCTGTACTGGCTATTTTCTGCTGAACTAGGGCCTCAGTATTTTCAGACAGAGAAAAGCCTTCTTGAACTCACAAACACTCAAAGGCCTGTGTGTAAACTGAACTTTGTGAACCACTAGTGGCATTTTTCCTTGCTATATATATATTACCAGGAAAAAATGGGATTTTAATAGGTTTGTTTTCAACCTACTTTAAACTCATGAAGATATGAGGCCTTATGTCATCGTTATAGTTACTACATGTGATCCTGTGTGTGTTGTGAGGAAGCGAGCTAGAAGTGAGTACTGGATGAACTCAAAAGCTTGCAACTCCTCTGCCAAAGCAAAGTCTGTCACAAGTTGCTAAATACATAACCATGCAAGTTAAAGAGACCCACACACTGATAAGCCAGTATTTCAGGGTGATGAGCCTGCTGTGCACCAGCTATGAATCAAAATCTTGTCTTTAATCTTTCTTCTGCCAACAGCTTTCTGCGTGGATTTGGAGTAAGTCACTATCTGAACTTTCATTAACCCCTTTCACTCCTCTTCCCCCTGAATTGAGATCTGTAGATTGGACCTATTTACTTTTTCTAGGGCTGGAAGTATAATCAGCTGCTGATGATTGTGAACTGCTTAGGTACCACAGTGATCACATACAGCCAAGTTTTATAAAACTATACTATCAGGCCAATATTTTACAGTAAAATTATTTGGGGCTGACAGAATTAGAGACAAAAGCACAGATGCATGCTGGCATAGAAATTCTAGCTTTGGGCAGCAATGTATCCAATCCATGCAGAAGTCTGTGGAAGCAGCAGGCATGTACCAGGTACAGCATGCTGTTTCCCCAACACAGAGAAGACATCACCAACTCTTTATATATTTAAGTTTTAATGTAAGCTTTCTATTATTGTGTAGCTTTGGGAAGACAGGCTTGTCAGCTGCTCTGACAAAGCAGCTTTTAACTGAATGAAGTTGCTGGACTGGCGTCTTGATACAGACTCCCTTCTCTAGTTGTACTGGATGTTAGGATGGAGCTCCCATGGGCAGTCTCTGACATCCACCAGTTCCCCACACGTGCTGAAGTGGGATGGGGATAGTGGTAAAGATTTTATCAGTACCACAGGTCTGACTAAAAGGGGAGTTTTGCCAAGACCAGATATATCTGTAAAGGTAGCCTCATTAAAACACCTTATGTGAACTGAGGGTCTTCTGAATCAGGCCAACAAGTTCTATTTCTAGGTGCCTCAAAAACTGCCCTGGAATTGAAAATTAAGATTTCAGCTTTTCAAAAATTGGGAAAAAAAAGCTTACCTCAACTTTCTCTATATACAGTTTCACACTGAAAAGTTTTTTCTTAGTGTAACAGGAACACCTTAATTTGCTGTTTGTTGTAAACTGGCCAGTTTGCCCTACTGACTTTTGAGGAGGCCAAAGGTCACCTGTGTTTGCAGGCAGAGTGGGTACCACAAAGCCACCTTAGTTGAGGTTACACAGAGCTAACACATACATTAATAGCAACAAACCCGGAACAAGCATCCCCAAATTAACCGTGCATTTGTACAGAAGTGCTAGGCTCATTTTCACACTTTCCAATGCTCATTAAAAAAAAAAATTAGTTGCACACTAATGAAATGCTTTGTCTGAGCACTAGATCCTCACTTTGCAACCTACTTAAGCAACATTTTAAAGCTGTATTCTGAACTACTTATATTCAAAACCTGGACTATGATAGTAATAAGAAATGCACTTAGCTGGCATAAATTTGACTAGCTTGTGTTTATATCAGGGAGATGACAAGCATGAAGTCAGTCTTTGTGGGAAGAGCCTCATCCTTCAGGGTATCAGCTTTCTGGAAATGGCGTTGTTTCCTACAATTCTCATGGAATTAATTTTTTTTACTGATTTCAGGCCTAACAGAGATATAAAACTGGTTAAATGTTGATTCCCTAACTCAAGGCTATATATAGATCTAAAAAGGTACACTAATTCAGGCAGCAGTTGTTCAATTAAGTATAGGAACAACATGGTTAAAATTTACAGCTTCAGTCTAGGCGACTTCAGCAAGATTGTCTTACGAGTTGCTCTTTACAACAAGGAAGCATGTCTGAGGTCATGTGAGACCAAAGCACATGCTCACACTGCAAGAAGAAGTTTAATATAGGGAATACACAACTTTACCGAAACCCATGCTGCGTTTCTGTATATGCCCTGCACCTCCTGGGGTCAGGCTCTTCACAAACGGTTTCAAATAAGCCATCCCCAGACAGTACTCTCACCCTGGAGACCGTACTTGGCTCGTGGCTGGTGCCATGCAAGTTAAGCTAAGGAAGCGATGATTTGAATCATGGAGCCCTTTAGAAACCACTAGACCAGTGACCCCTCCAAACATTCAGTATTTTATCCATCATTAAAGTTACTTAAGAGCCATGCTGACATCACAGCATCTTTCACAACTGGCTGTAATGATCTTAACCAAATTAATCACGTCAGTTGTCTGGGACAGCAAAAGAAACCCAGGTTATCTCAAAGGCAGTGGCTGAGGATGACATGTTATTTTCCACCGTTAGTTCGAACAACTCTTAGTAGCTATTTGAGTGCTGTAAACCACAACCAAGGCAAGCTGCGGCAGCCTAGCTCTCCATCCGACCCGAGGCAGCGTGTGCCCTCTGTGCCGAACGGGGCACATTTCCCCCCCTGAAAGCCGGCGGGAGGGTCGGCACCCCGAGCTAGGGGCTCTGGCCGGTGGCCATGCCCGGCCCGGAGCACTGCCCCGCAGGCGCCGGGCATCCCCGCACCCCAGCGCCGGGCGATGCCGTGGCGCCTCGGCCCCAGCACCGCTAAAAATAAAGCCCGTCTCCTCCTGCCCGCCCTGGGGAATCGAGGTTGGATGGATGGCTTTCTTTTAAAGCCGGATTTTATCAATCGCCCCCCACCCCCGCCAACCCTCCTCTGAACCGCCCAGCCCGGACCACAGCCCTGCGAATAACTTCAGCGCCGGGATCGCCGGCGGGCGGGGGGACGGGGCCGGGGTCCGCGGGCAGCGCTCGGCACTCACCTGGCCGGCGGTGTCGTAGAGCCCCAGCAGGTACTGCTTGCCCCCGACGGTAACGCTGACTGCGAGGGGGGAGAAACACAGCGGGTGAGGGGGGGGCAAGCCCGGCCGACCCCTGTGCTGGCCCCCCGGCCGGGCAAGGCCAGGGGATGGAGGGAGGAGGGAGGGAGGGCAGAGAGCGGCTGCCGCCCCCGGCGGTAGCGGGACCCCCCGCCCGCTCACCTGCGTAGTGGTCGAAGACGGTGGGCACGTACTCCTCGGGGAAGGCGTCGTTGGCGTAGCTCATCAGCAGGCACGTCTTGCCCACGGCGCCGTCCCCCACCACCACGCACTTCAGCATGACCGCCGCGCTGCCATGGGCCATGGCCGGAGCCCGCCCTCATGGCCCCGCGGGCGCGCCCCGCCGAGCCGGGCCCCTCGGCATCGCCGCCGCCGCCGCCGCCGCTCAGCGGGCGCCCCCGCCGGCCCCCGCCGGGCGCGGCCCCCCCGCCATCCGCCGCCGCGCTGGGCCCGGCGGGAGCCGCCTTCCCCCGGCCGCGCCGCGCCGCGCCGCGCAGGGAGCGCCCGCCCGGCAGCGGGGCCGGCAGCCGGGAGGGGCGGGCGGGCGGCGGGGCTGCAGGGCCGGGGCCGCTGTGCGAGAGCGGCCCTCGCCCCGGCCCCGCTGCCCGCACACGCATGCACGGCAGCGGCCGGCGCTTCCCCGCCCCGCAAGTTACTTGGGCGCTGCGGGCACCCCCTGCCCCGCGCAAGCAGCGCTGGTTCTGTGGCGATCCCCCACCATCGCCCTGTGCGTACAAAGGAAACTCCGGTAGCATCCTCTGGTATTAGCCCCTAACTGTGCCGGTAAGCGTGAAAATAATCAACGGGATGCGAAAGGATTTTGTTCTGCGCTGAGCTTGTTGTCTTTGGGACTAAATTCAGTAGTGGGAACAGATTTAAGAACACCAACGTGTGTCATTTGAACAGGCTTGAGTATTCGGTGTCAAGGCTAAAGGACCAGAGGACAGGACCTAGAAAGAGATGCTGCATGAAAAATGAGTGAAATCATGGTCCCACTAGTGTCAGTGGCAAAAGTCCCACTGTTCAGTGGCACTAGGCTGTCACCTTATCAAGCTGTTTCCAACTCCACATTTTCAAATGGTGTGAAATACGTCTACAGTCAGACAGAAACAATTGCCTTTTTTAGTTTACAATTTTTCCAGATTTATGCTGTAAGTCCTATCCAATTACAATGAAAACGGCACACAACAGTGCAAGCCACGAGGAGACCTCTGTGTTGTGTAGTTTGTGTTTCTATTTGATCTGACATGCTTCAGGGAGAAAATAAATGCAAATCCCACATTGCACAAAGCTTATCTGAATATTCAATGAAACACATTTCCAAACCAGGACAAAATACAAAAGTTATTACTTTGCAAGTTTTTCAGCTTAGTCAATCAAGCTTTCATGCCTTCAGACCACAGAGGGTCTGAGCAGGACATCCAAGACTGCTTGCTCCGGTGCAATCTCATCACAACTCATCCAGAGAGCATCAAACCCATGAAGAGACAGAAGCTGCCCCAGGAGGTATTTCCTCAGCCCTTGGAAAATGCCAGCTATAAAAGGAAGCTGGATTTACTGAGAAGTCAGTCAACTGGCAGCCGACACAGGATTCACCACACAGATCTCCCAGTCAACCACTTTTCCTAGTGAGCAGATATGTCCTGCAGGAGCAGCTATTTCAGGATGGGTTAATGGCACCACATCCAGGAAAACTGCTTTAGAGGTTTCCAGGTATCCATGAGGGACTTGAAATCATGTAGATACTCAGTGGCCCAGGTGACATCCACTTCCCCTTTGCTTGCCAGTGTATACATTTAGGAGTACCCAACACTTACATCCTTGAGCAAGAGCAGCCCAGGCTGCAGTCTGCACAATCAATGGGAAGTATACTTCCTCCACTCTGCTGCTTGCTTAATTGCTAGTGTTGCTTCCCAAATCCTGCAATCATCATTTTGAACTTGCATAATTTCAGCCAAATGATTCTCATCCGGTCCTCCATCTTGCTCAGACAATGCATAGCCAATTAGTCTGCACTAAATATTTAGAGAAGAAGAAGAACCAGCAAACTGAAACACTCACCTTGGCTCTCTCCTCACTAGTTTGGCTGGTTGTACAGCCAGGGAATCACATAGCTGAAGGACTGGGATCTTGAAAAAATTAACAAGAGTTCTAACAAGAGTGATATGGCTCAATGGAATCACCCATAGAGGTGTAGGACTGTTGGTTTCATCCACAGCATAATTACTTGGTTTGTTTTTCACCCTTTGCAGATGTCATTTTCCAGCCAGCACCCATAGCAGCGGGATAAGGAGGGTGCAGCTCTAAGGAGAATACAAATTTCATAGTTCCTGGGAATTTGTTTATTGTCTTAAACTTCTCGGGCTTTCAGCAGGTCCTCAAGAATGTGCTAGAATCTGCTCAGTGTCACCCAGCTGCCTCAGTGGAGGTTTTCAATTCAGCTCTATTGGCACAACAGATATCTTATCGCATCCTTCTTTCACATAGATTAACAATCTGTTCTGGGTAATATGCTTTCATTTTTCAGCAGTACAAACACAGCGTTAAAATAATTGCCTATAACAAATATTATTGTAAATATCTTTATTAAAGACGCTCAATCTAGCTCTATTTCCTCCCAACTTCTTTCATAAGGTCATAAAATAAACCAGTATGAAATGTTGAAAAGAAATTCCTATCATCTTATTGATAATTAAAATGGGTTTTTTTCCTCATTGTTTGCTAAAAAGTTGATAGGAAATGAGAAAACAGTTCAATTTAATTTTTCACAAAAGGGACATGTTCTGACTAGTTCTAGGTTATGTGCTGAATGGCTATTTTAATATAACAGATGAGTACTAAACAGCCAATTTTTTCATTTAAGGAATTAAAATTTTGCCTTGTAGAATTTCTGTAAGACTTCTATATGCATCTGAGACTGAGCTCATATGAGGAAGAAATGTAACTTGATTTCCCTTAGAAATAAGTCCTGTTCCAAATAATTCAGGTCAGCAATGGGGGAAAGTGTGTAGAGGAGAAGGTCTAATAAATTATGAGAAGCCTGTGAAGACACAAGTCTAGTGAAACTCCATAATGATTGTGCAGCTGAACATTTCTTGGAAGAAATTTCTGGAGTACACCAACTTTTAAAGGGAGAACAGGCACAGGCACATTGTCTGGCACAGGACAATGAAGCAGGATCAAAAAATCCTTCATCTGTGCTACCAGCAGCAGGGATCATAGAAGAGAAAGGAATGGATCCAGGCCGTAGCACAAGCAGTAAAAGACCCGTTTGGTCTATGGAACCAGGGAATAAGTGGTATTAATCATGTAATCAAACACATTTTGAAAATATGGATGTGTCCGTGTCCATGTCCATTATTAACACATCTATGAATTTAACCTAGAAATTGGCACAGTATTGTTACTTTCATCAACTGTGCTGTGCACTCTGTGCTGTGAGTACACTCCAGCAAGTCTCTGTCTCAATTCCCCTGTTCAGCTGCCAGATAAACTGCAGTGCCTCTCTTTTCACAGGGGTGTTGTGCACCACTAGCATGTGGCCATGCATCTCACCACAGAGGTGGACATCTTTCCATGCTGGATGAAATGACTTCATGGAAACAGCCAATATTTTTAGGAAAGACCCCTAAAAATGCCAGGTCCCAATCAAAGCTCAAAGCAATGTATGAAAAACACCCAAATTACTCCATGAAGTCCATCAGAGGATTAATTTCTTTCTAGGCATCCCTGCCTGTGGAAGACTGCAGCCATGGTTCTCTAGTTCTCTAAAAAACCTTCTAGACTTACAAGGAATGTTAAATCTTAGGAAAGTCAGTGGGAAGGGTGATGCCACCAGAACGCCCCGTTTGCACCATATTGTCTTTCAGACCAATCAATCTCTCATCCTCAAGCAAAGATGTCCCTAAGCAGAAGGTTACACCTGAGTGAATATAACACAAGGCCTGGTTTTTAGTCAGAATAATTTACTGTTTTCATAAGTGGTGAGAACACCACTTTTACAGTTTATGAATCATTACAGTTTTGCTTTTCTGCCCAAGATTAGGTAATGCCAAGAACGTGTCTGTATCTCAGCTAATACAGAGGAAACAAACCACATATTTCTAATGTGCCAAAAAAGGATAGGCAATTTGATAGTTGCAGATCTAATTCCTTCTGAATGTCAGTTTCCACTCTAATTTCCTCTTAATTTAAAGGGTCACAGTTGTGAGTTTGCCTTCCTCATGTTTTTCAAGAACATGGTGACACCTCCAAGCAAGGGCAAGTACTATGTGAAATCAGAATGACAGGATGGCACATTTTAGGTCATCTGCTAGAGCACGCTGGCTCTTTACTGTACCTGTACTGGTGCCCTTCTCCCAATGGGGGTGAAGGTTGTTCCCTTCAGGAAAGCTCAAGCACAGGTCTGGTCTCATTCTGCTATTCTGTTGCAGCTTGTGATTCTGTATTAACATTTCCTTTCTTTTTTTTTGCATGGATGTAACTGAGATGGGCGTTCTCACAAAAGCAACATAGTAGCAAAATAGCAAACGTGAAATAGTAGCACCAAGACCAAAACTAGAATGCATCGCTGGGAATGAGATACAATATTTCAAAAATAAATTTGCACTTCCCACTGCAAAGTGTCAAAATCACTACTCTGTGTTTTTTTCTTAATAACTCTAGTACAGGAGCTTTAAAAGTGGTCAAAGAAAATACATCAGTGGAAATATCTTCTCTGAAAAATCATATCCTTTGAGAAGAATACCTTTTGAAGTCATGTCAATTCCATGAAAATGTTTTAAGAAAGCCATAAAAATGTTCTGACAGCTTCAAAGCATTCGATTTTCATTTTTCAGTGTAAAACATTTTAATTTCTACATCACTATGTTTCAATTTAGGTTAGCATAGTGTTAGCATATGGTGTAACATAAATGAAAAGGTGCCATCATTAAACATTTCCATCAGCTTCATTTTTCTTGCAGAAGTTTTGGGGTTTTTTAAGGACTGCAAAATTTTCAGATTGCATTGCTAATTAGAACAAAGACAAATCTCAAGAATATTCATAAAAGTGAACTTTAATCCTCTGAACAGCTTATGTCCTCCTCATACTCCTGGCAGGGTTAAAAGAGATATTAAGAAAAAGAAAAAAGAAACAGCCAACCAAAAAAAGAAACAAAAGCATCTGGTTCAGATAGCTTCTGAGAGGGTACTAAATTTCAAATATGAGAAGTCCACAGATCCAGGCCCACGCCTTAAGTTAATCTTGTGTTTTATTCAGGCCAACATAAAATTCAGTTTTCTACACAAGGATTTAAAGCACCAGAG